AAAAAAAAAAAGAAAATGGGAACTCTGGAAGTTCTATGTCTTGAATTGAATCTTTTACTTCTGAAGATTTCAGGCAATAGCAACTGTCTCAATAGCAAATGTTTGTAAGGATGATTCACTTTTCAATTCTATCTCAAGGATCTTTCTGTGTTTTTTTTTTTTTTTTTTAATTTTTTTTTTCAACGTTTATTTATTTTTGGGACAGAGAGAGACAAAGCATGAACGGGGGAGGGGCAGAGAGAGAGGAAGACACAGAATCGGAAACAGGCTCCAGGCTCTGAGCCATCAGCCCAGAGCCCGACGCGGGGCTCGAACTCATGGACCGCGAGATCGTGACCTGGCTGAAGTCGGACGCTCAACCGACTGCTCCACCCAGGCGCCCCTCTTTCTGTGTTTTAATTGCTGTTTTCCATGCCTTTACTTTTGTTACACCTCAATTGTAATGAGACAATTTTGAAAGGCTGCAGAGAAAAGAGGCAACTCGGTCATCCTCTCGACTTCACATCAGAAGCCGTTGCCCCTTTCCCCCTACAGCCGAAAACCCTATTTAACACCCTTTCTCTCTTGCATAGCCACAAAGAAGAACATCGTCCAGGAAACTGGGGGATGCTAAGACGTGAAGGACGCATATGGCTGTTTCTGCTCCTAGCCTCAAAAAGAAAAGGTTGTAGCTCATCTTTGCCAGCTTACCTGACTACTTCTAAGCAAAGGAGATAACGAAATATTATTAGTGAGTTCAGTGACATGAAGGTAGGTCATGATCCCAATAGTTCTGGGCGAGATGGAAAAGCTTAAGGGTCTTCACTAGGCATTGACCACATCAAGTGCCCATCTAGCACTTAGCAGATTCATGTGAGGTTTCCTTAAGGCGATCACTGTGAATTGAGTTCTTTAAACGGCTCCGGGGCTCGGACCCTGGGATGCAGACATTAAATCAGAGCACAGTCCCACGCATGATCTCTTGGATATAAGGAGAAGATTCTGGAATCAGGAATGAGGAGTTGCACACCCGTCTCTAAGTTACTCTGCTTCTCTGTGCCTCAGATTCCTGTCCTATAAAGTGTGGGCATTTGGTTTATATGCTCTCTAAACTCTAAAGGCACTCAAAATCTACTGTATAGAGATGAGTATATACCAATTACCTATATTAATATAATAACTATGGACAAACTACACAGTACAATCACATACTAGTAATCTATTGTACAATCTGCTAAAAATTCACAAACATATCTCTCCCCTCACATTGTCCACTAAAGGGCTTGACCATTTTTCTCAAAATTATTTGTATTGTTCTATTTAAGAAGTTATTTCTTAAATAGAAAATTCTATTCAAAGAAAATAGGAGCAGACTTGTTTATAGCCCTTAGGCCTTTCCTTTACCAAGAATTTTATCTCCATATGAGGGAAAGCACAGAATAATTTATTTGTTGCTACTCTACAGTAATATTTGAATGGCTTTTACTAAGAAGGCCAGATTTTTTAAAACAACAACAGCAACAACAACAACAACAACAACAACAAACCCTAAAACAACTAGAAAAACCTCTTGCATGGTAGAATTGGGAGCAGGGGAGTGAGAATATGGATGTCCTAGGGAAAGCATATTCTTAAAACTCTATTATGTGATTAATTTGTCTTTGAGAAAATGAAAGTTATGTCTTCTCTGAGTTATAACAGAGATTATCTTTATGATGACTGGTCTGAGATACTTCTTCCCTTGTATGTACTTTGGAAGGAGGTGAAGGAAGGAAGTGGAGGGGGGAGGAGGAAGGGAGGGAAGAAGGGAAGGAGAGAGGGAGGGAAGGAAGAAGTAAGTTTAGTTCTCCTAGGGCTGGGTCCAGCTAAGCAGTGACCTTGATTTCTCCTCTGGCCTAACACCAGAGAACCTCACCTGCACAATTCATGCTTTGGGCACTGAGGATTTGGCAGTGAATAAAATAGACACAAAAATCATGCTTTTATGGAGCACACATTCTTAGTCTTTAATAAGTAAGCCAGAGTGTCAATTTGGGTGAATTTTCTTCCCGATGTTGTACCGTAGTGCATTTTCCTAGTAGCAAATATTTTAAAATTGTTCTCCTCTTCTAAAAATATACATGATGTAAATCATTTAATAGAGCAGAAAAAAAAAGTTTTGTAATTTAATAAATGAAATGTTTATTGTATTATGATTTTTCACGAGAGTTACTTTATTTTCTTTCTATCAATAAAAGGGTACAGTGGGCTTACATTTGAATTTTGTGTTTTTTTTAAATTCGATATCAAATCTTCTCAATAGTACCTATTGTGTAATCCTTGTAATCGTTTCTGATTGTATTCATTGAACTGAAATGTTTTTTTTTTTTCCACAAAAGTAGTTAGGTATAATATTCCTAAGATTATAAAAGAAAAGTCTGTTAGCTGGAAGTTAGTTTTATGTGATATAAATGCTTCCCTCTCTAGAAGTACTGAATGAATGTTGCTTTCACTTTCAGAGCTCACTAGATGTTGGCTATGATCACTCTTCTCTTCAAATCTCCGTGGCAATTTTTGCCCTAATCATCCTGCACATTAGTGCCTTGGATGCTTTTACAGTCGCGGTATATGAACATGCTGTTATATTGCCAAATAAGACAGAAACGCTTGTTTCCCAGGACAATGCCCTGTTCCTTATGAACGAGAATATAGGTTTCTAGACAGAGCAATTAAGCACTCAGCTAAGCAGGTAGGGAGAGCGAGTAGGAGAATGGAGTGTTGAACTATGTGACATATGAAGAAATAATTTTGATTTCGCTTATTTTAAGCAGAATGCTCAAATGACTGTGACTCCAGAAGATGCGCTTTATGGATGGAAATTTTCCAGGGAAACCATTTCTCTTTATCTGAAGCATATCCCGGCCCCTCAGGTGAATTGGATTACATGTCAAAACACCCAGAGGTATATATTTCTTAAACTTAAAAAAAAAAGTTTATTTATTTATTTTGAGAGAGAGAGAGAGAAAGAGAGAGAACATGAGCACGTGTGCATGGGAACAGCGGAGGGGCAGAGAGAGAGGGAGAGGGAATCCCAAGCAGGCTCCATGCGGTCAGCACAAAGCCCACCGCAGCACTTAATCCCACCCACTGTGAGATCATGACCTGAGCCAAGATCGAAAGTTGGACGCTTAACCAACTGAGCCACCGAGGTGCCCAGGAAGATATTTTAAATATCCTCATTGTGCAAAAATGCTGCAATTCTCTAAAATGCACATGTTCACCACAGCGACATGATAAATCCTGAATTATCACAGATGTGGCATACAATATTGTTACTTTCATCTTGGCATTTGCTTAAAAAATGTGTGCTTAGATACCATTTAATACTCATTTATAAATGGATAGCTTTATTAAATTTGGAGAAAATATGTAAGCAAGATATTTATTGCTAGGATTAGAAGCTAAGGGGAAGAGAATCTCATGGAGTCAAGTAATAAATTAATTTCTGAAGTAGACAGTGGGTTGTATTTGGGAAGTAGCCCAAGGTCTCCATTGAAAGTACCATACATCGGGGGCATCTGGGTGGCTCAGTTGGTTAAGCGTCCCACTTCGGCTCAGGTCATGATCTCATGGTTTGAGCTCGGGGCTGAGAGTTCAGGTCCTGGAGGCTGCTTCAGTTTCTGTGTCTCCCTCTCTCTGCCTCTCTCTCTCTCTCTCTCAAAAAATGAATAAACATTAAAAAAGAAATTACGAAACTTCAATCTTATGGAGTCTTTCTGTTCCAGAATCTACTTCTCAGGCAGAAAGAGCTTACTATGTACATTTTCATGAATCATAAGACCTTATGCTTTGAAACTTAGTGTTTTCCTAGGCTCATAAGCTAATTTTCTTGAGGAAAAATAATCTAGAGACTTTCTAATATAAAATATTTAATATATATAAGTGCATATTTAATGTATAAATCTTACTGTCTAATAAGGCTTGAAAATTAAATTACTGAGGTACAGATCACACATTTCTATTTTGGCACTCTCTCTCTCCTGTCAAATCCTCTCTCTTACTCACTCATACTTTCTCTCCCTCTTTTACCTCAGATTAAGTTTATTAAACATTTATCCGCCATTTTTTTGGTTTTACTAGAGGATTATGAATACCATACTTTTTTTTAGGATGCCTGGCTCTTCTGACATTTATATAAGGGTTACCAGAAAACAGCTTTTCTTAGCTCTAAAGAGACACAAAGAAGAAAATATTGGGTGACATGATAAAAGACAGTTAATCTCTCTATCCTTCTTGTCCTGAGTTGATGCTGTCTATGGTGTTAAATTTTCTTTTGTTCCAGAAAAGAGGTCAATAGCTAGACAGTCTTTCTGCATAGAAGTTTTGAAAATTGGGACAACTCATTTGTTTTTCAACTCACAGTAGGGTTAAGTTCTGGGTTTCCTGTTAATAACAACATACGTTGGGGGTGCCTGGGTGGCTCAGTTGGTTAAAGCATCCCACTTCGGCTCAGGTCATGATTTCATGGTTCCTGGGTTCAAGCCCCATATGGGGCTCTGTGCTTGTGGTAGGGTCCCCTCCCTAAGGAAAGAAAAAAAAAAAAACCTCAAGGCAACCTGGCTATCCTCATACATAACATTCCTCACAACCTTGTAACAAGACCTGATCAAACTGCACGTTTGTGTGTTACCATATGTGGGAGACAGAGTAGCAAAAAATATATAGAAAACTATGCCATGTGTCATTCAGGGCTCAGTTCCTCCGTGGGAACCCCACTGAGTCATGCGGGGGGGGGGGGGGGGTGGAATAAAGTTGCTTCCTGGGAAGAAAAGCCTCCGTGTTGCATGTCACGACTCCCTGGGAGTATCCTGCTACATGCTGACAGCTCAGAGCTTTGATCCTGCTTCAGATTCTTTGTCTCCCTCTCTCTCTGCCCCTCCCCCACTCGTGCTTTGTCTCTCTCTGTCTCTCAAGAATAAATAAATGTTAGGGGCGCCTGGGTGGCGCAGTCGGTTAAGCGTCCGACTTCAGCCAGGTCACGATCTCGCGGTCCATGAGTTCGAGCCCCGCGTCGGGCTCTGGGCTGATGGCTCAGAGCCTGGAGCCTGTTTCCGATTCTGTGTCTCCCTCTCTCTCTGCCCCTCCCCCGTTCATGCTCTGTCTCTCTCTGTCCCAAAAATAAATAAAAAACGTTGAAAAAAAATTAAAAAAAAGAATAAATAAATGTTAAAAAAAATTGAAAACAACAACAACAACTACATGTATTGGGGCATCTGGATGGCTCAGTCAGTTAAGCGTCTGACTTCAGCTCTGGTCACGAACTCGTGGTGCATGAGTTCGAGCCCCGCATAGGGCTCTGCGCTGACAGCTCAGAGCCTGGAGCCTGCGTCAGATTCTCTCTGCCCCTCCCCTGCTTGTGCTCTGTCTCTCTCCCTCTCAAAAATAAATAAACATAAAAAAAATTAAAAACAACAACACATGTTGTAAAGTTATGGACTAGTCAAAGATCACAATAGCTATGGAAACTAGTGAAGTTTGGGGGAAAGGATGTTGCCTATGGTTAGAGCTCTGTCACAGCCCTACAGTAGAAGGAATGAATTTTGACAGAAAATGGGTTTGCATCGTCATCCAGGATAGTCACATTGAATTCACTTAATTTTCACTCATTCAGCCATTATTTATCGAGCATCTATGATGTGCCAGATATTATTCTAGAAATAGGAGATACAGCGCTTAGTAAATGACGGTTATGCCCTCCCCCACCATGACTTATGAATATTTAGTGAGAGAAGGTAGAGGTAAGCAGACTCATTATTATTTAGAATGTTGTGTGGTGATCAGAATAGATATATTTTAGATGTCAAGGGGACAGGATTTGTTGCCGGATTTGTTGTGGGGGTATGAGAGAAAGACAAGTGTCAGGAGTGACTCCTATTTTCGGCCTGAGCAAACGGAGACACAGAATTGCCATTTACAGATATACAGAGCACTGAAGGAACAGCAAGTCTGGGATGCCAATTAGGAAGCCAATTTTGTGCACCTTACGTGTAAGCTGCCCTTTCAACATCCAGGCGGAGATGTAAGCCTGCCAGTTGCATATACAAGTCTGGCATGGAAGGACAAAGTCAGGACTGAGATAGAAAACCCAGGGTCAGCACACAGATGATTTTTAGCACCATGATGGTTCACCTATGGAGTGAGTTACAGAAGAGAAGAGACCTAAGGCTTGAGATCCAGGAAACTCCGATGTTTAGACTCAGAAGGGGTGAGGAAGAACCAGCAAAGGAGTATGAGAAGAGCAGCCATTGAGCAGGAGAAGGAGAGAGCGGGGTCCAATCAGCAGGGCGAAGTGTTCCTGGGAAGAGGGTGTCATTAACTGTGTCAAGTGTTGCAGACAAGTAGGATGACATCAAGTAAGATGTGGAGGTCATTGTTGGCATCGGTAAGAGTTGTCAGGTGGGATGATAGAAACGGAAGCTCATTTGAATGCCTCAAGAAAGAATGAGAGAGAACAAGCTGGAAACAGCCAGATGGACAACTCTTTCTATGAGCTTTGCTAGAAGAGGGAGCTGAGCAATGGAACAGTATTTAGAGGGACATATGGATTCAGGAGAAGTTTTTAATTATTATTTTTTTTTAAGTACTAGAGCACATTTGCATGCCAGTGGAATGATCCAGTAGAGAGGAGACAGCCAATGACCCAGGAGAGTGAATAAGGAATTGCCAGAGCAGTAGCTCCGATGTGAAAAAAAAAAATCATGAAGTTTAACTTATGGCTTTTAATGATGATCTTCTTCATGAATAGTTTTTACATTGGCTTGTAAATTGACTCACACTTAGATTCTCACTACTGTTTGTTTCTTGATGAACTGAATACAATACTCTTTTAGGTTATGTTGTTAACTCTAATCACTATGCAGTGCGTTGAATCTCCAGGACATATTTATCTGCTAGCTGCAACTCTGCACCCTTAAATGATATCCCCAATTCCTTCTTCCCCCAAGCCCCCGGTAATCACCATTCTTATTCTTCTTTTATGAGTTCAGCTTTTCGAGATTCCACATATAAGTGCTATCATACAGTATTTATCTGTCTCTGTCTAACTTATTGAAATGTTTCAATTAAAATTTCATTTAGATTTGGTCACACACCAGTACAAGCAAGACTCATCGACCTGGCCAAGAACAATTCTATGTCTTGGCAAATATTGGGAACAAAAAGTCATGTAGTTCCCATGATTCCACATGTCCTCCTGAGGGGGGACCTGGTGGCACATTACCATAAGTAATAGGGTGGGGATATGTAAAATGGAGCCCTGCTGTGCGAGTGGTCAATGCTGTGTTTGAGTTTGATCTTGGGGCACCTGGGTGGCTCAGTCGGTTAAGCATCTGACTTCGACTCAGGTCATGATCTTACGGTTCTTGAGTTCGAACCCTGCATCGGGCGTTGTGCTGACAGCTCAGAGCCTGGAGCCTGCTTTGGATTCTATGTCTCCCTCTCTCTCTGCCCCTCCCCTGCTCATCCTCAATCTCCCTCTCAAAAATAAATAAACATTAAAAAAATTTGATCTTCATTACCTCTATAATACGACAATGCTAGAGATTTTTTTTTTTAAGTGAGCAATTAAAGAAAATAGCATTTTAGAAAAAAAGTGCTCTGGAACAAAATGTAGGCAAAGATCTATTAGAAAGGTGTAATATTCCAGGATTGAGATTTTTTGGCATATAAGAAAACAAATCATTTTAATATTGATACAAAAGACAGTAAATTGACTATAATCTGGATACAACTTAATATCAAAAGGATACAAAGATGTTTCCAAACTGTATGAATCAGTTTCATAGAAGTTAAATTCCTTATTATCTTTCAGATCACAAAAATCATCTTTCTCTTTATTTTCTATACCAGTTCATTTAATTACCCTTTTACAGGTTTAAGGTCAAATCCTAAAATTTCTACTTT